AAAATTCATTCTCTGTTGTTCTCACGATTAGGATCTTACTAATAAATGCTACCACACTAGAAATCCTGGAAAGCAAGAAATAACCTCACTTATCCTGTAAGTGCAAATGCTGGGTTCCACCATGATGACTGGCAAGTGGAAGTCAGCTGAACACTGCTGTTCCTAAGCTGAGCAAGGTGAAGGTTTTCAAGACACCACTTCTCCAGGAAGCATGTCCACATTCCTGAAATTCTTCCTCTCCGGCATGACTATACATTCAACTCAGGGACAGCTGACACGCTTTAATCACAGGCTATTTGCACTTGTCATCACTGCATAACGTAAACATCATATTGGTGTGGTCCTCATAGGCTTGTTATAATTCACAATAATAAACAACTCATCAAAACACCTTTTTGAATTAAATGTTCAAATTCTTCCCTCCCCACATCCCATTTTTTAAAAAATTGCTGGACATATAAACTCCCATTGATCGCCTCCAAGTCACTAGTGACCACATTTGCCAATTCCTTGCCCTTGTTAGAAGAAATTGTGCCCTAGTTAGAAGAAATCAGCAGGGCATAATACTAACAAAATCTGTCCAGGGATGGGGAACTCCTAGCTCTGCTACCATTATCAGGAGTATTAGCCTATCCACTCAACCTAGAGGAGGATACCAATACATACAGAAGAATTAAGGTCTTTCTGAATGCTAACCTCATCTTTCTCAAGAGAATTTTTTCATCCTCTTTAATATTTCTGGATACTTCCTGGAGGCATACTCCACAGCTAATCAATTGTTGGAATACTGCCAGAAAACCTTATAGGGATATTATTTACAAGGCATACTGAATTAGTGTCCTCCAAAGTGCAAATCCCTTTGCAATCTCAGAATCTGATCTTATTTGCAAAGAGGTAATTTGAAGATGTAAAAATTGAGGTCATATTAGATTAGGGGTAGCCCTAAATTTGATGGCCAGCATCTGTTTGTTTTGTATCAGGGATGACCAGTGTCTTTATAAGAAGGCCATGTGAAGGCACAGAGGAAAATGGTGTAAAAATGCAGGTAAGGACTGGAGTGACACATCTGTGAGCTGAGGAATGCTAAGGATTGCCAGCAACCTCCAGAAGCCAGAAGAAGCAGTCTTCCTAACATGCTTCTGACAGATATGGCCCTGGCAAACTTTGATTTCTGACTTCTAGCTAGATTCTAGCACTGTGAAAAAATAAACTGGTATTTTAAGTCACCTAGTTTGTGGTACTCTGTTATGGCAATCCTAGGAAATCAATACATCAAATAGTGACATACTGCAATCTTGCTCTAAGGGAAATACAGCAATTCTCTCCTTATTTACAAGGGATACCTTCTAAGACCCCCACTGAATGCCTGTAACCATGGAGTGTATTCAATCTGGTAAAGAAATAGTGCCTTGGTTCACAAATGCTTCTGTTCACAAGCAATTTGGTTTACAAACAGAAACATTTGGTAAAATTTTGCTTTCATTTGAGAACTCAACATTGAGCGAGGAACATGAATGTGGCCATTGTCTCCAAAATCAATGGATGAATTAAGTTCACAATTTGAGGTACCAAGGTATATGTTGATTTTTCCTATATGTACACACAAAATATTCCTATTATAGTTTAATTTAGAAATTAGGCATAGAATAAGATTAACAACTAACAGTAATATAGAACAGTTCATAAAACAAATGAATTATTTATTTCTAGAATTTATATTTAATATTTTTAGTTCATGATTGATCAAAGGTAACCAAAATTACAGAAAACAAAACTGTGACCAAGGGAGGAAAATGTATAAGGACTGTTACAAATATGGTAATACCTTGGTAATATCTTTTGAGTATAATAAAATACTTTGAGTTCGAAATCTTGGTCTCTGATAATAAAAATAGCCCTGAAGAGCTTGGATTTCCTTCTAGAAGATACAAAATACATATTACATTTTCAAAGAAGTAATTTCTCCTTTCTACTTAAAAAGTAATATAGTCCCTTATAGAAGCTACTCCTGTTTCTTAAAGCTTGTGGAGTAGGGTATTTCTTCTCTGTTACAGCAAAAGTCTCTGCCTGCATAACTTTTCTTACTTATGATACAGATTCCCTGTTTTATGAATTCTGCAGAGAAAGACACCACTGTGAGTTACATAACATGACACAATTTCTCAAATACAAGTTTATACACACACACAAAAAAAAACATGACACAGTTTCAGACCATGTCGTCTAAAGAATACCACTGGTGAAGCAATTGCAAAGTTAAGTTGTTAGGGCCAGGGATTTGTATTTTTTATTCAGTAAAATAAACTAAATAAAGATTGTTTTATGATCTCATCCTTTGTTTAAAAATATTTAACCAGGATTTTTTCTTAAAGTTCATTTGCTATATTCAAGAAACAAAGAATGTATATATTTTCTCTGAAATAGGATTTTTCATGTCTAGAAATTAAACCACTACATGTAACTGTTTTTAGCCATGGACCTTTTATTATAGTGATCAATGAGAACCCTGAATTTTAAACATGATATTTTCTTAATGTATTTTCCCTAACTCTTTGTAAGTCTTCAAATGGGTATAGGTAGAATATATAATTTATTTTCCTTAACAACACAAATTAGGCACTTTTAAGGAAATTATTTAATATCATTCAGGCTCCTCAAACCTGACTGATGCTCCAGTTCACTGGCAGTTTCACCTGCTAATTGGAATGGCTAAGATAAAAGGGTTCTCCTCTTCGGTACAGTGAGCAGCGAGAATTCCCCGTAACTTATTGTACTTACCTTTCTTGCTTTCAGCGTTACATTTATCAGCACCCATTAACCACATGTATTGATTTCAAAAACTCAAAGAACCACATGTAACACACATGTAAGTATTTTCAGGGACAGTGAATATTATACACATGAAATCTGTGAATTGCTAGCCAATACTCAGATAGCAGCTCTTCTTTTCAGATTTTCTTTGTAACAAACACTTCAGTTCATTTAACATATCAATTAATGCCCCTTATTTTTAATTTGAACCCAGACCCATGCCCTCAGTTATATCTGCTGCCTTTTTTAATTCTGAAATAGTGTCAGTACAATGCTAAGCTTTCCACGTGGGTCTCTAATTTGCAATCCTCTTGCCTCAGCCTTTCAGATTTTGGGGATTACAGATGTGTACCACTCCAAAGGGCTCCCCTTTAGTTATCAGAAATAAATTTTCCTACATACACCCCTCCTTTTAAAAATAGCTCTTCTTAAAATAGACAAACATCAGCATCATAAACTTTTCTTCTGTCCTCCTAAGGAACAGCTTATATACCTACCAAATACACTGGCTATTACAGAATATATTTGTCAATAGACTGGTTTATATTTAACAGTACTGTTAACATTTTCACAAGGCCACAACACAAACATTTTCACTAAAGATGAGAAAATTTCATGCCCACCTCTAACATTTGTAGAGGTTGGGATAAAGCTACAAATTGGTGGGTAGGGGTCCGTATTTTCATATCTAAGTATTTAGAAGTTACAAGTCAAGTTTATGTATTAAATAAAATATGATGTTACAGCCCAATACCGACAAGTCCACCTTCAATTATCTGGAAGAACATGCTCTTAGATCCCTCATGTTCCACACCACATTGTGGTGACAGGGAAGCCAGCCCACCCTGTTCTCTTCCCACTATCGAGAGGACAAACGTTTTAGAAGCAAGTGTCCAAGCTGCAACCCAAAACTCACTTATTTACTACAAAATGCCAACACTGCAATTAACTCTGAATACTGAGGTTTTAGTTTAGAAAAACTCATACATTAACATCTTTTAAAAACAACATGCCTGTTGTAGGTTTGCCACCACTGTCCCACTTGCTCAAACTGCTTGCCTGTAGTTATTCCACAGGGCTAAAGAGTACATTCACTGGTTCGACCCTCCTAAAGACCAACTCAGGGCAAAGGCCCGTGCAGACCCTGGAAGCACGCTCTGAGCTCTTTAGAGACAGAAATTCCATTCTTAGGGCAGAGGATATAGTTGGGAAATGAGGGTTTAGGTGCCTCAGACCCTTTATCCTAAGGGCAAGGTTGGCCAAAAGATGGTCATCTTTTATTTTTCAATTTTTTAATTCTGGAGACTGGGTTTCACTGCGTGGCCTACGTTGGCCCAGAGCTCCTGATCTTTCAGCCTCAGCCACCTGAGTATCTGGAATCAGAAGAATGTACCACTATATCCTGTCTTTCAGAATTTGGCCTTTTAGGAAACAAATTCTAAAACAGAGTCTCTTGTGCCCAGGAATAAAAGCAACACTGGTTAATTCACCAAATAAAGACTTTACCAAATGGGACATTTAATATACTAGCTGAAATTCAGTATGCGAGAATATGAAGAAGATAGATAAAACCTGAAATTACAATCTCTAATCACTTCAGTTCCCTGGAGGTTTATAATCAAAGGGTCTAATATTTATCTGGATCTATCCTATACACGAAAACCTAGAATCTATTCTTTCTTTACCAAATTCCTGAAAATTGACAGAACACTATTCACATGCTAGAGGGAGCTGACAAGACAAGAAGCAGCAGAAGGAAAACAGTATCAAAGGCAAGATCAGACATGCAGATGGATGAGAGCTTTTCCCTTGTGTTATTCACTAGTGTAGGGAGCATACACCGGGATTAGTCATCTGATCAAAGTTCAGTGTCACCACAGAACAAGTTCAGGCTTTCAGCTGGCTCTCACTGATGCAGATCCAGGCAGTTCTTTCCTTGGCCTCTTAGTGTATCTAGCCCGGCGCTCAAGTATGGGGGAGGTCGCGCTGAGCCTTGTCAGCATACTAACAACTCTCCCTATGCAGGATCTCTTCCCTCACCATCATGTGCTCCACTGCCATTTCAACTGTACTTAACAAGAAAATGATTCTGTAATTTGAAAACACTAATAAGTAAACCTTATCACAATACATATACATACTCCAGAAGAGAAGTATTTCAGCTGGAAATCTTATTTATGTGTACTTACTGAGATTGTACCATTGTCTAGACCTATGGACAGTCTTCTTGTTTCCGGGTTAAAAGACATGCATGAACATGGAGCTGAAAAAAATGAACATGTTGATGAAATTAACAAAATGACAGTTCTCATCAATTCAGGAGTGCTTAACTAGCTAAAGGTGTGTGGCTACTTTCCCCCATTATTTTCTGAAAATAATGTTCATTTAACTTCCACTCACCAAAAAATAGTCAACTTATAACTAATCTCTAATTTTTAAAAATTATCCTTTTAATGAATACAAGAAATAGAACATTCTCAAAATGAGCAGGTTCCAAAGTGCTTGGTCTCACTATCTCTCTTCTACTCAGATCCCATTCAACAGGTGTAACCTACCCATTTTGATAAGGAGACAAAAACAAAGGTCTTATTTTTCACCTTCACTTCCCATACCCATACACATCCACTACTGGTAAAAAAAAAAAAAAAAACTTTATTTGCCTCAGAAGTGATAAGGAAGGCATCTGTGAACTAACAGGAGTCTCTTACTCCTATAATTCAGAAGATGTGCCTGAGGCTGCTGGCTGAAAGTGACTGCAAATCTGTCTCAAGCTGAGACTCAGCTCAAGGGAGAGAGAGGCATTGCAACAAAGAGACCAGGTGTCTGTGTGCTAATTCTGAGCTGGGACTCCCAGTTCCACAAGACTCTCTGCCCAAATAAGTTAGGCCCTGTTCCAGAAAATTACCTGTGGTCAGCAACAATGGGCAAAACAGTCAGCTTCCAGAAGCCTGCTTTATCCATGTTGGCTCCTTGGAATGGGGGCCCATCCTGAAAGGCTGTTCTAAAATGTCCAATACAGTTTTTAAATCAATGTCTCTTTCTATCACACTTACAGTGGCCCTACAAATCATGGTCTTACTCATCATGATAGTCATGATCAGCGTTAAAACAGTTATTTTCACTTTTTAAGTTATGATTAGATGTCTCACTCAAGGTCACATGGGAAAAAATTGGAGAAAGTTCAAAGACATAATTAAAAATGACAATTTCCATTATGATATGTTCTAAAAATAAAATATATAAGAAAGCATCTCCCCCTCAAACTTTCAACAGTACAACAGATCTTCTTCTGTTTAGGTAGAAAATAAAAGTAGATTCTTACAATCTACTGATAAAAAGCAATCAAGTAGTATTTAATAAACTGTCATAAGAAATTTACTCTTACTTTCCCTTGGCTTTACTATTTGGCAATATTTCTATAAATTCTAAGATGCTAGTTCTCATAATCCCATATGTGTGCAGAATTAAAATCTAATGATTACACGGAAAACTATGTTTGCCAAAAAAAATCAGAAAAAATACACTGTGAATACAGCTATGTAAAATATATTCACCCATAAAAGTACACACAGAAAAACTAACTACAGTTCTTATGTTTGAGTGGCATTATTTTTAACTGTTTTTACTATTATTTTACTGTTGTTAAATTAATTTTAAATATCTAATGATTGCTTAAGATTTAAGCACGAAGTGGAAGTACAGTTGCTTTTCAATAAACTTTATTTTTTAAAAAAAGATTTAAGCATGAGTATAAGAAGCAAAAGTTAATTACAGCCCAAGCAGCTATATACCAACACCAACCAAGAATAACATTATCTATCTGCCCACCTCACCGCCTGAAAGTATTTTCTCTGTGAACTCATCTGGAGTTCATGTATAGCTATGCCATAGTAGGAAAATCCACTGATTTTAAAACATGACTTAAAGACTTTCTTTACAACTGAATAAGCCACCCTTAAGTCTATATCATTACTTCTTTTTTCCTGTTCTTCCCCTACTTATGATATTTATTACTACTCAACAAAAATGCAGGATACTTACCATCAACTACATACAAGAATTGTACAACTCAAATTCACCTTTTCAATTTAAATCACTTTATGTATATTAATAAAATGTTGCAGAATTCAAAACCAAAAGACCTTTCTTTTATAAAGGAACCAAAAAGAAGTTTTAACAAAACTCCTGCTGTTCTATTTCCTGAACCCAAGACATTCCAGACAGGGGCACACCAGAAGTAGAAGGTATAAATTCTCAGGGACTGCCAAAGATACAGCTATGCTACAAAAAAGTATCACGGAAAAACAGAACAGGAAACAAGATAGGCATCTCTGTCTCTGTCTCTGTCTCCCTCCTGTCGCTCTCCCTGGCTCCTCCCCCTTTTGGTTTTGATAGGTAAACTTTGTGATGCTCCTCAAATCACTGCCCACCCATTGCATTCCCACAGGACAATGCCTTGGGTTAGTTACCATAACCCCTGATAAGGCCAAGAATGTATGAAGTAGATTCAGAAGAGTTTAGGAGCCCAGATTTGTTGCTACAATAAATCTTTTCTTTGGAGGTTAGAGGCAGATAGATTACCATAAGGTCTTTCTAATTTCTACTTTCCAAAACTTAACAAAAAAGTCACCTCTAAAAGCTAGCACTGCTGCCCAGACACAATGGGCTCCTAGTCATGCAGCAGCAATATCAAAGGAATGATCTAGGGAGCCAAAATGAGACTCAAGTAGAGACAACAACTGTGGAATGAGAAAAGGAACCTTCTGGTCGTGGGGAGGGCGAGACAGTATGATTTAGGCATTTATTGTTGGCTAGGTTGCAAAAATGGGGTACTTCACCAAAATTAACCCGAAAAACCAAACAACTCCCCAACACTCTGCTTTAAATGCTATAAAACTATCAATTCATAAGGCAACAGAGAAATACTTGATTTCTCCCGTGGCTAAATGTGCAGGTTAAACGTGGTGCTATTCTGTCCCCCTACCCTAATACTGCTTTCTTTAAAGAGTAAATGAAGTGGCTGACCAGAACTTCACAACTACAATACATGTCCCTCGACTGCCTCCCTGGAGCAAAACTGCAACCCCGAGCTCCAAGTGAAATAAATACACCATGATAAAAACATGAAGATACACCCCCACACACACACACACACATCCCGCATCTTTTAGCTGTTTTCCAGCAAGACAGACAATCACACGAGTACGCCCATTTGCCAAGTTTCCCAAGTACATATGATGCCATATGAAGGTGGTCCAAGACTGCTCAGGTCTATAGCAAATAGGTGAAATTCAAGGCCTTATCAATAGTCTTGTTTTTGTTGCATTTCAATTTCTTATTATTCCTTTTGTGTTTGGGGGATAACTAAATTTGCCATCTACCTTTTTTGTCTTGGTTAGATGACAGTCAAAGAAGTCTACTGGCAAAGGGTTAAGAAGCAAGATAATGAAAGGTACAAATAAAATGCCTGCAGGCCTGTGGGAAACAGGACCTCTCTTCTCCAACATTAGTATCAGGACTTTTGACTTTCATGGCCTTCCACGGTCTTATCTTTAAACACTTCCACAACATACGAGGTTTTAAAAATTAAGACTGTGGTCCTTCCAGGGGGAGAACCACCAGTGTCTCCTGAGATTCGCGCCATGTTGGAACTTAGGAGGCTGGGAAATCAAGCAAGCAGCTCCCCTCCCTAGTAAGCGGCTGCAGTGTGGCAGACTGTGGCCCTTCCAGGGGGAGAACCAGCAGTGTCTCCTGAGATCCACACCATGTTAGAACTTACAAAGCTGGGAAACCAAGCAACCAGCCTGCCTCCCTGCTAAGCAATAGTGAACCTACTAGTGCACGGCCTAGAGTCAATCATCCCACTTCCCCTACCGGCCTTCTCCTGTCCCCCATTAGCAAATGGGAACCAGAAATCTGAGTATCTCCTGGGAAGTTAAGGGGGATTTCCTTCTACCATCTCTTTGAAGACAAATATTTTTATTACTGTTTTGCTCTATTCTGATTAATGCTACTGCTCTATTCAATAGTCTGTTTTGATAAGTTCTGTAATGTTCTATATTTCATTTTATTTTGATATACGTGATTGAAAGAACAACTATTGTAAAGATAACAAAATATACTGTGATACCTATTACTGTTATCCCGGTAACCTGCTGTGAAGCTGTGTATCAATTTCACTGTACGATCTTAGTTGGCTTCATACTGTCTTATTCTGTTGTATTTTACTACTTTCAAAATAAAATTTAAAAAAATAAAAAAAAATTAAGTCTTTATAATGGAAGGGAGATATTCATCTTTAGGTTCAGGGAAAACTAAAACAAAAGGCCCCAATATGAGGTGATTATATTAATAAACATGTAATCTGAAGGCGAAAAAGCTGAAGAGATCTAAGCCCCAGACAAAGGAGACTCAAAACAGTAATATCTAACTCAGTGTGATAATAACTAAATAGATTAAAGTGACTACTTACATTTCTCATTTGGTTATACTACAATTTTTTTTTTTTTTTTGGCTTAAAGAAAAAAGATGGTTGAGAGGAAGCATTTTCAAAAGATTTCCACTTGAGAGAAAAATTTCTAATTCCAATTTCTATTATTTACACCCATAATTCTTTCATTTATGGCTAACTTGTTTTCTGTCTTGTGCTGACTGACTGGCTGAACTTTGCTCTAATAAACACAAGTTTCACTGGAGATTAAGCTCTGGATTTCAATCACACTAACAGCTGTAAAATACGAAGAGCTTAATTTAGACACTAATCTTCCTCATAAGATTCTATGGTTCAAAGTTAAAAAAGTAAATAAACTAGTACATCTCTGAGTAAAACTGCGGGTGTTGAAGGCATCTTGGTAAAGTTAAGTGCCAAGATCCCATGGTAAGAAGTCACACTATTTCACAGACCACATGATTTAGGAATTCATATTAATTTGAACTTCACTCACACTTAATTTGTTTTAGGATTTGGGGGGGGGGGGTAACCAGGGATTGAACTCTAGACCTTGTGTTTGCCAACCAGGCACTTACACTGCTGAGCTAAACCCTTGGCCCCTTAGGATATTTTTAAGATTTGTAGTGCTCAACCCATGTTTTGTTTCATTAAGCATATCTCTAATTAAGGATTTTTAGTGCCTAACATTAAGAAGCATTTTTTATTTAAATCAAATATTTTAAGCATTCAACTAACATTTATCATTGTTTTCTTTTAGTCTAGTCTGAATAACATCGGGAAAGTTAATTACAATTAGAAATGGCCACTTATTC